GGCCGCCGCGCGCGCGGCGCCCGTCGCATCTTGTAATGAAAACACAAATGCGCGGGGCAGGGCCGCCGCGCGCGGGCGGCCCAAGCGCAATATTTTAACGGACAAGCACCATGCTCGAGTGGGGCCACAGGGCGCCTGCGCGCGAGAGCGGCCAGGCGCATCTTGTTATGGGAAAACCACCATGCGCGTGGGGGCAGGGCCGCCGCGCGCGCGGCGGCCCAGGCGCATCTTGTGGGAAAAACACAATGCGCGAGGGGCAGGACCGCCGCGCGCGCGGCGGCCCAGGCGCATCTTGCATGGAACAACACAATGCGCGAGGGCGGCCCAATCGCATCTTGTATGCAAAAAAACACCATGCGCGAGGGGGCAGGGCCGCCGCGCGCGCGCGGCGGTCCAGGCACATCTTGTATTGAAAAACACTATGCGCGAGGGGGCCGGGGCCGCCGCGCGCGCGGCGGCCCAGCCGCATCTTGTGTGGAAAGAAAAAACTCAATGCGCGAGGGGCCAGGACCGCCGCGCGCGCGGCGGCCCAGGCGCACCTTGTATGGCAACGAACCCAATGCGCGAGGGGCCAGGGCCGCCGCGTGCATGGAGCATGGGGACTGAATGACTCAACAAGTGCGCGGGTGACACGTGTCACCCGCGCGCGCGCGCGATGGGTCCTCTATTGGTTTAATACAATCGCCACCCGTGTTAAGTTGAAAACCCAATGTTCAAAACCCAATGTAAAATTTCATTCTCTGGGTACAAGAAGCGGCCATACAACAGTGGGTCATAATAAACTATACAATATGACAAGAGAGCGCGCGCGATGCACCCTGTATTGGTTTTATACAAGCGGCCCCCATGCTAAGTTGAAAACTCATGGTTCAAAACCCACTGTAAAACTTCATTAGAAGCGGCCGTACAAACGTGGAATATGATAAAATATACAAACTGGCAGGAGAGCGCGCGCGATACATCCTGTATTGGTTTTATCCAACCGGCCCCCATGTTAAGTTGAAAACCAAATGTGCCGAACCCAATGTAAAATCATTCTCTGGGAACAAGAAGCTGCCATACAAACGTTGAATATAATAAATTATACGATATGACAGGAGAGCGCGCGCGCGGGTGACACGTGCCACGCGCTCGCGCGCGTACGCGCGGGCCATACATCCTGTATTGATATTACACAGTCGACCCCCATGTCAAGTTGAAAATTCAATGTTCTCTGGGTACAAGAAGCGGCCATACAAACAGGGAATATAAGATTATACAACATGGCAGTAGAGCGCGCTCGCGCGTACGCGCGAATCTTTAAAACCAATACAGGATGCATCGCGCGCGCGTATGCGCGCGCGCTCTCCTGCCACATTGTATATTTTCTTATACTCCACGTTTGTATGGCCGCTTCTTGTACCCAGGGAATGATTTTTTACATTGTGCTTTGAACATTGAGTTTTCAATTTAACATGGGGGCCGATCGTATAAAACCAATAGATGATGCATCGCGCGCGCGTGCGCGCGCGGGTGGCACGTGCACCCGCGCGCGGGTGCATATTTTATTATATTCCACGTTTGTATGGCCGCTTATTGCACCCAGAGAACTGTTTTTACATTGGGTTTCGAACATTAGGTTTTCAACTCAACATGGGGGCGACTGTATAAAACCAATACAGGATGCATCGCGCGCGCGTACGCGCGCGCTCCCCTGCCATATGGTATTGATCATTATACTCCACGTTTGTATGTCCGCTTCTTGTACCCAGAGAATTGATTTTTTACATTGAATTTTGAACGCTTGGTTTTCAACTTAACATAGGGGCGATGATATAAAACCAATACAGTATGCATCGCGCGCGCGCGCGGCGGCCCACGCGCATCTTGTGTGGGAAAAACCAAGCGCGAGGGAGCGAGGACCGCCGCTCGCGCATCTTGTAAGGGAAAATACAAAGCGCAAGGGGCCATGGGCCGCCGCGCGCGGCCCACGCGCATCTTGTGTGGAAAACGCCAAGCGCGAGGCGCCGCGCGCGCGGCGGCCCACGCGCATCTTGTATGGGAAAATACGAAGCGCACAGGGGCCATGGGCCGCTGCGCGCGCGGTGGCCCACGCACAACTTGTGTGGAAAAGGCCAAGCGCGAGAAGGCGAGGGCCGCCGCCGCGCGCGGCGGCCCACGCGCATCTTGCATGGAAAAATACAAGGCGCAAGGGTCCTGCTGGGGACCTGCTAAGGCCCTGCGAGGGTCCTGCTTGGGTTCTGCAAGGGTCCTTCTGGAGCCTTCTAGGGTCCTGCTAGGGTCCTGCGAGGATCCTGCCAACGTCCTGCCAAGCTCCTGCTAGGGTACTGGGGGGGAGGCTCGGGTCCTGCTAACTAGGGTCTTGCTAGGGTCCTGCTGGGGCCCTGTTAGGGCCCTGCTCGGGCCCTGCTAGGATCCTGCTAGGGCCCTGCCAAGGTCCTGCTAGGGTCCTGCCAGGGTCCTGTTTCGCGTTCGCGCCTTTTCTGCGTCACGACGTTCCAGGACGGCCCAACAAGCCCCCAAGACCACCCCAAGACGACCGAAGAGGCCCCCAAGAGCGCCCCAATACCGCCCAAGAGAGCCCGAAGACGGCCCAAGAAAAGGAACACGAACCGAAAATCCTCCTCCTCCGGTATAGAACCCGGGGAAGGGGGGGCTACCCTAGGCCCTACCTAAGGCCCTAGGGTAGCCAGGGTGGGGCCTACCCAAGGGCCTAGGGTAGCCTTACGTAGGGTCTACACAAGGCCCTAGGGTAGCCTAGGGTAAACCTACCCAAGGCCCTAGGGTAGCCTTGGGTAAGGCTTACCCAAGACCTACACGGTTACAATAGCACTCGTGCTGTACAAGTTAAACTTGGAAACGCATGGAACAGAAGGCCTACGGTAGGCCTAGGGGAAGGGCCTAGGGTAAGCCTAGGGTAGGCCAGGGGAAGGGCCTAGGGTAAGCCTAGGGTAGGCCTAGAATAAATCTAGGGTAAGCCTAGGGTAAGCCTAGGGAAGGCCTAGGGAAGGCCTAGGGAAGGGCCTAGGGTAAGCCTAGGGTAGGCCTAGGGGCAGGGCCTAGGGTCCTAGGGTAGGCCTAGGGAAGGCTTAGGGGAAGCCTAGGGAAGGCCTAGGGGAAGGGCCTAGGGTAGGCCTAGGGAAGGCCTAGAGGAAGGGCCAATGGTAGGCTTAGTGAAGGCGTAAGGGAAGGGCCTAGGGTAGGCCTAGGGGAAGGGCTTGGGAATGCGCCCTGCGATTTGCGAAAGCTCTCAGAACACGATTCCTGGCACTTCTAGGCCACGACACTGTGTGAGGGGTGCGGCCTGCGATTCGCAAAAGCTCTCAGGACACCATTCCTGGCACTTCGAGGCCGCGAATCCGTGGGAGGGGCGCGCCCTGCGATTTGCAAAAACCCTCAGGCCACCACGCCCGGCACGTCGAGGCCACGAATCCGTGTGAGGGGTGCGCCCAGCGATTTGCAAAACCTCTCAAACCACCATTCCCGGCACTTCGATGCCACGAGTCTGTGCGAGGGGTGCGCCCTGCGATTTGCAAAAGCTCTCAGGACACCAATCCTGGCACTTCGAAGCCACGAATCTGCGTGAGGGGTGCGCCCTGCGACCTGCAAAAGCTCTCAGGGCACGATCTTTGGCATTTCGAAGCCACGAATCTGTGTGAGGGGTGCGCCCTGCGATTTGCAAAAGCATTCCTGGCACTTGGGGGAAGGGTAGACCTAATGGAAGGGCCAAGGGTAAGGCTAGGGTAGGCCTAAGGGAAGAGCCGGGGGTAAGCCTAGGGTAAGCCTAGGGGAAAGGCCTAGGGGAAGGGCCTCGGGTAGGCCTAGGGTAAGCCAAGGGCCTAGGGTAGCCGTAGGGTAGGCCTAGGGGAAGGGCCTAGGGTAAGCCTAGGGTAAGCCTAAGGTAGGCCTCGGGGAAGCCTAGAGTAAGCCATGGGTAAGCCTATGGTAGGCCTAGGGTAGGCCTAGGGGAAAAGCGTAGGGTAAGCCTAGGGAAGGCCTAGGGGAAGGGCCTAGGGTAGGCCTAGGAAGGCCTAGGGGAAAGTCCTAGGGTAGGCCTAGGGGAAGGGCCTAGGGAAGGCCTAGGAGAAGCCTAGGGGAAGCTTAGAGTAAGCCTAGGGTAGGCCTATGGTAGGCCTAGGGTAAACATTGGGGAAGGGCCTAGGGTAGGGTAGGCCTAGGGGAAGGGCCTAAGGTAGGGGGCCTAGGGGAAAAGCCTAGGTAAGCCAAGGGAAGGCCTAGGGGAAGGGCCTAGGGTAGGCCTAGGGAAGACCTTCCCTCCGGGTTCTATAAGCCTCCTTCTCCCCCTCCTCCTCGTCCTCCTCCTCCTCCTCATCCTCCTCCTCTCCATCATCCTCCTCATCCTACTCCCTCTGCACACATCTGGGTTAGACGGTTGGTCAGGGTTAGATGCGGGGAGTGGCTCAGCGAATGGGGAGGCACATATAATCCAACATATTGGCCAATGACCCGACGTTTGGCCACTTAGGACTTTCCAGAAATGCATTGGCGGCTGTGGTTCGCAATGGCTAGCCGTAAGACGAGGAAGGCATTTTAGCGCACTACGGCCCAATGGGAAGCGACGAGGAGGAAGGAAGCTCATTTCGACAATTTTGCTGTGTCCGCAATCACAGCTCTGAGCCGCAGCCTGCACTCGCAAGCTGCCGTCCCCAAGCCTGATGACAGGCTCCCCTTGCAAGCGGTGTCGCTGATGGGCCGTCACAGCTCGCTGTCCAGCTGGGTGTCCATGAGCTTGTCCGCCCTGCCACTGGGCGTCTCGCGTACGGCCGCCGATACCTGTCGGGCGATGAGAAGTATGCACATACACCGCTCGTGCCGAGGCCCACCCTGGGCCCAGGATCTGTGTACATGCCTCCCTGGCCAAGCCAGGAGGGCGAATGCACCGATCCTGGGCCCAGGATGGACCTGGCCCGGATCTGTGTAAATGCATAGGTCTCGTCCTCCTATACCTGGCAGCCACTCGCAGCCACCCACAGCCTCCCCTACGGCAGGAACTTGCTCACGATCGGGTAGGCCAAGTCGACCCTGCGCTGCAGGTCGAAGGCGACGGACGTCTCGCCCACGAACCTGCGGAACTCGGTCTCCATGTGGTGGAGGCACCACCATCCGCAGGAGGAGCCGTCAGACTGGAAGGCCTTGTTCGCCCTCGAAGCCGCCAACTCCTTCGCCGACAGCACGTTCTGGACACCGACGGGCTGCAAAGCGTCGAGCAGGGCATGGGCGCAATCGGCGCACGCCCTCGACGGCTGACGCAGCGAGTCGTAATAGCGGATATTCCACCAAGTCGCTGGCTCGAGGGGCGCCAAGGACGTACATGGAGTGATGAACTCGGACTCCTTACTCAGGCGGCCCAACCACCTCTCGGCGTGAGTGCACGAGCACGTCTTGCACCCAGCGCCCCCGCATGCTCCACACCCAACACCATACCCGTCAAGCTTGGTATCGGCCTCGACGGCGGCGGGGACGCCTTCGGAGACGGCGCCAGCGCGCTGGACCACGAGCAGCACCCAATGGTTGCCGGCGAGGATGGGCATCGCCAGGACATGCGCGGTCCGCGTACCGGCGGAGTTCGGCAACAAGCTCCTCGCCCTCGCCGTACCTGTCATGGGCCGCATCGTGGTTGCGCACGTGGTGCGCCACGAGGGCGGTGATGCGCGGTGGCGCCACCAGGCAGCGGGGCGGCGTCAGGCGCCAACCGATCTCCACCGCCGCGATGGCGAGCTCCGCCTCGCTCAGCAGGGTGCGGGCGCCTGGGGCCCGGCGGACTTCTATGTCCACGGGGAGCCACGCCTTCCTGATCTCCTCGCGCTGCTCTTTGCCGAGCCACCCCGCGTTCTTCCTCCAGGGCAACGGTTTGCTCGGCTCGTCCGGGACGGGGACCAACCAGCTGACGGGCACCTGTCTCTTGTTGGCAGACGTGTCGCCGCCTGGGTGGATCCACGCCGATGGACCCTTCGCGGATGCGACTGTGCCCCAGAGCCCGCTGGTCAGCCGCGCGGCCGCGGCCCTGTCGCTGGCCCACACCGCGTCGCAGTCGACCTGCACTCTGCACCCCGGCTCGAGGCGGGGCGCGGCCGCAGGAAGCGGGGCGGCGCCCGCACACCCCGTCGGCAAAGCGGCGGCCGCACCCGCTGCGCGCGCAGAGGCAGCTGGCGCGTCGGGGGCAGGCGAGCCAGCTGGGGGCGGGGGCGGCGGGGGCGGCGAGCGCGCCGAGTCCGCCGCACTGGCCACGCCGAGCCAATCGTCGTTGGCCCCAAGCTCGCCAGCGTCGCCAGCGGACGGCGCCGCCTGAGCGGGCGAGGCGGCGGCCAGCAAGTCCGCCACGGGCGCGGCCAGCGGGCGCGGCGAACCCGCAGCGCCAGGGTCGCCCGCGGGCCCGCTGGGGACGGACGGCGCCGTCGGCGCCAGGGGCGGCGGGGGCGGCAAGCCCACGGCGCCGCCAATGCCTGCGCCCTCGCCCACCTCGCCCGTCCTGGGCTTCTTGGCAAGGGCTCTTTCGGCCGCCTGCATGGCGGCGTTGGCCTTCCGCTTGACCTGGCCGAGGGCCTTCTGGCCAAGCTTATTTGCGTTTTCCAGCTCCTGCTGCTGGTCCTGCAGCTGGCGGTGCAGGCCCTGGAGCTGCAGCGAGCGCACTGTGAGGTTGTCCGCGTGCACCCGCAAGCGCTTCCTCTCGGCCGCCGCGGCGGCCGCGGGCTGCTCCCCCGGCGGCGCGGCGAGCGCCTCGGCTCCCTGCTTGGCCTCCTGCTTCTGCGACTCGGCCTCCTGCCCCGCCCCGTGGAGCTGGGCCTGCAGCGTCTTCAGCTTCGCCTCCAGCGTCGCCACATTCCCTGCGAAAGTGGCGGCTGCCTTGGCGCGGGCGCCCTTCCGCGCCGCGGCTTTCTGCTTGCCCTTCTTGGCCTGCCTCCGCTTGGTGCTCCCCGCGCCGCCCTTCTTGCCCTTCGTCTTGGCCTGCTCCTTCGTCTTTTTCGCCGCCTTCGTCACGACGGCGGGCACGCACAACTGCTTGCGAGCGGCCTCGATGCCGAGCGAGTCGATGGCAGCGCGCCACTCGGCCTTCTTCTCTGCCGCCTGGGTCTTCCTGGTCATTGCCTTCTCGACCCGCTTCTCGGCCGCGAGACCCCGAAAGCTCTTCGTCACCTTGGGCATCTTGGCAATGGCGCCCCCAGCCAAGATGGCCTGCTTCACGCGGGGGTGCAGCGACTGGAAAGCCGCCTCCTCCGCCAAGGCTTCAGCGCTGATCAAGCCGGCCAAGCTGATCGGCTCGAAGGGCCGTAACGGGCCTTTGGCCAGCGAAGGGTCGCTGGCCGCAGCCGCCAGGGCTTCCTCGTGCTCCGCGAAGGGCCGCTGGCCCCAGCCGCCGAGGTAGGAAACGAACCCGTCGATCTCCTCGTCGTCCAGCAGGAGCTCCTGCTTCCTGTCCTCGCTGATGCCCTGGCCCTTCTGCTGCACGTATGCCGCCCGCTGTCTGGCGCGGAGGGCCCGGAGCTGGCCCCAATCGGGCTTCTCGGGCTTGCCGTGCACGGGCACGTAGTTCACCCTGTCCGCCATGAGGCTGTTCGAGAGGCGGGAGCTCCCCAATGGAAATTGCCGCCACGCGGGGCCCACGAGGGGAACCAGCCCGCGATCGGTTGGCTTGTGCGCTAGCCAACCCCCCATGCGGAACGCCTTCAGAACGCCTTGGTTCTCGGCGTTGTCCCGTCGGCACTCCACCTGCATGCCCTGGGCAATGTGCATGAGGTCGACCTTGTCGGACGTGAGGTCGGACGCCTGGCCTGACATGTTACCCGCAAGTCTCTTCAATCTCCTCCGCTGGTGTTTGACTTTCTCGCCCCCGGCCTTGCCGATCACGGCCTCCCGCACGTCTGTCACCTGTGTTTTTGCGGTTTGGCGCATGCCGATTGTGTGGACTACCTGGTTGTGCATGTAATTGTGCAAGTCCATGATCTCAGAATGCTCGCTGGCAACACAGTCCACAGTCTTCAGGGAGTACTGGTACCCCTCCTCCACCGAGAGGTCCGTGAGGAAGGACGCGATGATCGTGTCTTCCGTGGCCTTTGGGGCGCCCCACAGCCTCACGTGCCCTGGGCGCCACGTGTCAGGCGGCTGCCCCAATCGGTGCCAGGTGCGTAGAACAAAGCCTTGTTATGGCGCCTGGCTGCCCGCCACTCGGAGCCCAGCGGCCCCACTGCCTCGCCCTTCACCCGCTTGACCATGACCCCGTCGAGCGAGAACGAGTGGCCCCGCAACCGCTGCGCCGGCTCGAAGAAAGACATGTCCTCCAAACGGTAGTGCTTCGAGGCGACGGCGAGCAAGACGCCGTCGAGCACCTTGCCCGTCGGCACCGCCACGTCTGGGTCCCACAGGCCTTCCAGCGCCTGGCGGAAGAAGAAAGTCAACCTATGGCGCCCGCATCGGCGACGCGGCCCGCGCCCATTTGCCCGCGCGCCCTCTCACGCATGTGCCGTGAAAGCGCGCTGGACGCAAATGGCCGTGGGGCGGGTGTCGATTGCGGGCGCCCACCTGTTCTTCTCCCTCCTGCTGGAGCCCACGGCGTCGCTCGGCTGCGCCACCGACATGATCTCCGGCACCGGCGCGCTTGGGTCCTGGGGGCGGAAAGGTGATATAGGCCGCACTTCGCTCGGGGAGCCAGGGCCGCAAGCTGTCTCGGCCGATGCCTACTCCGCGGCCAACCGACCAGGACAGCTGCCTGCCCAGATTTCCGCGGCGAGGGGCTTTTCGAAGACAGTGTCCTTTTGGGCCGCGAGGCGCAGCCTCCGCCGCTTCTGGCGCTCGTCCAGGAACGACGTCCTGACCAGGACCTTCCCCGTGCTGCAGTCCAGGTAGACTGGGGAGGCGCCCTGGGCGATGACGGCCAGCTGGCGCCTGTTCTCCACGAGCCCCTGGGCGTCAGCGACGAAGCCCTGCAGCTCGTCCGCGGTGGCGGTCATGAGCAGATCGACGAGCCAGTCCCATGCCTGGTACGACAACTTGCAGATGAGGTCGTTCTCGGCCGCCGTGAACGGCACCACGTTGGAGGGCTTGTGCTCGACCACGCCGCACCAGCTGCCCAGCCGTGCCCGAGCGTATTTCCTATTTCCTGGGGCTGCCAACTTGGCGAGGCGCCTCTCCATCTCCGACACGAGCTTGACGCCCCCCCCCGCTCTCCTTGAGGTCGAACACCCTGCTCTCCAGCTCGAGTTCGAATTCGTCGACCAAGTCCTCTTGGTTCAGCTCGAAACCGATCTCCTCCTGCCTGTCCTTCCACGCTTTGACGTAATCGTAAACGTCCTTGACGGGCGACTCGTAGGTCTTCTTCTTGGCGCCATCCTTCGAGAGGCGGCACCCGGTGTCGGTGCTGATGAACCTCTTCCAGCAGCGTTGTTTGCCACGGCGCTCCCTTTCCAGAAAGAGGATCCCAAGGCAGCGACGATTCTTTTTTCGGGGGGAGGGAGCGCTTTTCTTCGAGCCCAAAACCACTGGGGTGTCTCTGCCGTTTCGCCGGCGGCCCATCCGAAGGGGCAACGTTTCCTTTGGGCTTTCTCGGGGGCGAAAGGGGACCCAGAATGGCGGGGCGAGCGGGAGGGCTGATTGACAGCCACCTGGGTGCCACAAAAATGTCTTGAGGATCCCCTTCTGACCTCTCAGGACCGCGGGCGTCCAAGTAGCGGGAAAGCTTCTCCCTCTCCTCGGGCTTCGCGAACCGCTTCAGCATGCTCGCGGGGACCCCGCAGAGGTCCTCAGCGAGCGACCAGAATTCGTTGGTGGTGTAATTGTCGACCTCCTTCGAGAGGGCGTCGACGCGATCAACGATCATGCTCCTGGCCGTGGCGCTCGGCGTTTGCATCCTCTCCCTGTCCTCTGGTTGGAGTTTGCCCTTCTGCGCTTTCACCTTGGCTTTCCTCTCCTTCGCCGCAGCCTTCTGCTCGGCCGTGTGCGGCGGTCTGCCACGCCCTCTGCGGGCAATGACCTGAAGAACCTCCGAAGCCTCAGCCAAGTCGCTGACGACGTCATGCGGCTCGAGGATTGCGATGGCCTGGCTTGCCACCGCCGCGGCCTCGTTGCTCAACTCCTCGGCAGCCTTCGCTTGGCTCTCCAGCTCAAGCGCCTGGATTCTCAAGGACTCGTCCTGCTGCCTGATCGCCTTCTTCTTGATCGCCTGCTCCCTCTCCTCCGCGTTCATGTAGCAAGGGTGCTTCGGCCCCCGGCGGCCTCTGCGGCCCTCAAGGGTGCCCTCCTGCGCGGCCGGCGGGCTCGGCGTGTCCGCCATGAACCTTGAAATCAGACTCTGCTTGGCCTTCTGCGGTGTTGAGGGCCCAAGCTGGGCGCGAACCTCGCGGGTGCGACGGGCATCCTCTCGAAGCTTCTGCGACACCAGCATCAGAGCTTGCGCTTCCTGCTGCTTCGCCCTCGCGTCACAATCCTTGTCGACCGCGCCCCAGAAGGCGCCCTCGTCCCCAGACGGCCCCTCTGAGAAGAGGTCTTCCACGCAAGGCTCCGCGGCACACCCCGTTTGCTCCGGCACCGGCTCCATCGCCCGCGCGAGGGGAAGGGCCGAGGCGCGGCCAGGGAGGGGGGGGCGGCGCGGGGAGCGCCTGGCGCGGGCTCGTGAAAAGACAAAGCAGTGGCCAGGAAAAACAATTCGGTCCCCGGTCCCCGGTCTCCGGCCCAGCGGGTCCGTCGAGCCCCCAGAACTCCCGACCTCGAGAAAACTATCATTGCACGAATTCGAATACTAATATTAACAATAATGCTAATACAGATACTGATACTAATACTAATACACATACTAATAATGATACCAAGACGATGAATACTATTACTAATACTAACAAAAAATCCGAATACGGATACTAATACTAATACTAACACTAACAATAACACGAACACGAACACTAACACTAACAATGACACCAACACTAACACTAACACTTACACCAACACTAACACCAGCACCAACACCAACACTAACCCTAACACTAACTGATACGAGTACTAATACTAACACTAATTTTAATACTCATACTCATACTACTACTACGCATGCTAAGACTAATAATAATATTCATACTGACACTGTCGGTTACTACTAATACTAATACCGATACTGATACTGATACTAATACTTATACTGATACGAATACTACTACTAATAATAATACTGATGCTACTAATACGAACACGAATACGAATACGAATACTGATACTAATCCAAATACAAATACAAATAATAAACACGAATATCAATACTAACACTAATACTAATACGAATACTCACTCTAATACGAATACGAATGGGAATACGAATACGAATACGTATACTACTACTAATACTAATACGATTACTATTACTAGTACTAAGACTAATACCAATAATACTACTACTTATACTAAGACTAAGACTAGGCCTAAGACTAATACTAATACTAATACGAATCCTAATATTAATCCGAATACTAATACTAACACTAATACAATGGGCAAGGGCCGCCGCAGGCACTATGCATTTGTTCCAATGGCGACTGGCCAGGGCCGGCCGCGCGCGCGGCGGCCTGCCCCTCGCG